TTGTAAAATATAAAACTATAAAGCCCTACAACATATGAGAAAATCTAAGTGACCTTGGGTTTGGTGATGCATTTTTAAATACAACACCAAAGGTATGATCCATGAAAGAAATAATTGATAAGCTGGACTTCATCAAAATAAAAGAAAACTTCTGTTCTACAGAAGAAAATGTCAAGAGAATGAGATGATAAACCACAGACTGAGACAAAATATTTTCAAAAGACATATATGACAAAAAAACTGTTATTTAAAATACACAAAGTACACTTAAAACTCAACAATAAGAAAATGAACAGCCTTACTGAAAATGGGCATAATATCTGAACAGATACACACCAAAAAAGATACACAGATGGCAAATAAGCATATGAAAAATGTTCTACATCATATGCACTAGGGAATTGTGAATTAAAACAAGGTACCACTACACACCTATTAGCATCACCAAAATATGAAACACTAGCAACACCAAATGTTGGTGAGGACATGAAACAACAGGAACTCATTCATTGCTGCTAGGAATGTAAAATAGTACAGTCACTTTAAAAGACAGTTTGGCAATTAGATAACTAAGTACAGGGTAGAGCAAAAGTAAGTTTACAGTTGTGAGTGTATAAAAACAGTTTATTCTCACTATTATTAATTATTATATTATTTCCCATACAAACAACTGTAAACCTAAACTTCTGTCCCATCCTGTATACTCTTGCCATACTATCCAGCAGTTGCATTCCTTGATATTTAGCCATTTATGTGTTCATGAAAACCTGCACACAAAGGTTTATAGCAATTTTTTCATATTTACCAATGCTTGAAGGGAACCCTAATGTTCTTCAGTAGGTGAATGGATAAATAAACTGGTACATCCAGCTATGGAATCTTATTTAGCACTAAGATTAAATAAGCTATCAAGCTAAGAAAATACATAGAGGGAACTTAAATACATAAAACAAGTGAAAAGAGCCAATCTGAAGAGGTGTATTACCATCAACTCTATGACATTCTGGAAAAGGAAAACTATGGAGACATTAGAGATATTAGAGGTTGCCAGGGTCCATACACAGAGGGAGAGATTAATAGGCAGAGCATAGAGGATTTTTAGAGCAGTGAAACTATTCTGAATAATGTTATAATAGTGGATACATGTCATCATGTTTGTCAAAATGTATAGAATATGCAACACCAAGAGTGAATCCTAGTGTAAACTGTAGACCTTGGAAAGTAATGTTATATCAATGTACTTTCAACAATGAAAACCAGTACTCTATTCGGGTGCAGGATGTTGATATTGGAAGAAGTTATAAGGCTGTGCAACCTGCAGCCCGTAAGCTGCACTGCATGCGGCCCAGGGTGGCCATGAACATGGCCCAACACAAAACTGTAAATTTACTTAAAACATTAGGAGATTTTTTGTAATTACATGTCACAATGTATTTAATATGTGGCCCAGAGACATCAAAATTTTGGATACCCCAATGTGTTGTGGGCAAAGTATATGGGAACTGTATTTTCTGCAGTTTTGCTATAAATCTCAAAGTTCTTTAAAAATGTATTTAAAAAAAAAAACAGATGGCCGGCTGCATTTGGGCTGTGTGATCATAGTTTGGTAATACCTGATTTATAGTCTGACAATCTGTGCCTTTTATTTGGTTTGTTTGGTACCATTATTTTATATGTAATTATTGATATGGTTGGGTCTAAGTCTATTATTTTGTGATTTGTTTTCTATTTATCTCATTTGGGTTTTTGTTTGTTTCTTAGTTATCCTTTCCCCTGTATTTTTTGGTTTACCAAATATTCTTTTTTGTTATTCTTTTAATTTCCCTATTATCTTTTTAAGTACACACTTTTGCTATGTTTTTTTGCTTGTTATGATAATAAAATGTGTCCTTATCATAGTCTACCTAGAGTTAATATAATTTTATACTTAATGTTTTAGAATGTTGGAGCCTCACATCAGTGTAATTTCATTACCTCCCTTTCTTTATGCTATTGTCACGTGTTTAATTTCTACATGCATTATGATTCTACTTACAATGTCACTGTATCTGCTGTGACCAATCATTTGTCTTTTGAGGTCATTAAGAGGAGAGAAAAATATACAATCTCTGTATTGAGGCATGTATTTATTTTCCTAGTGCTTCTCATTCCTTTCCATAGATTAGAGACTCCTTTTAGTAATCTTTTCTTGCAGTCTGAAGAATTTTCTTCAGTGTTTATTATAGTGCAAGTGTCCTGATTCAGTTTTCATGTACCTGAAAATGTTGTTATTTCTTTAGGGATATATTAGTTCAATATAAGATACTAGTTGGACTCCCCCAGTCCTTGTTTTAAGATGATATTCCATTGTCTGCTAGCCTGCATACTATTCATATTATTGCTTCAGAATGGCCTTTAAGATTTTTCCCTAGCTGTTTCATTCCTATGTACCTATATGTGTTTTTGATAGCTAAAGGGAGGCATTTAGTGAGTGAAGGAATTGTGCAAAAAGGAAAAAGGACACATGGACATGGACAACAGTGTGATGATTACAGAGGGGAGGAGGTATAAGGGGACTAAATGGTAGTAGAAAAATAGAGTAAAAAATTAAAAAACAAAAAATAATTCTGCTTAAGACCTGCTTATATTTATAGGTTGATCATTTTAGACTAAATTTTCCTCATTAATTTTTCTATATTTTTTCTGCCTCATTCTTCATCTGCTCTCCTTCTGTGACTCCAATTATAATAAAACAGTTGATATTGTCTCATAAATCACTGAGTCTATTTTTAAAAATATTCTCCTTTATTTTCTCCATATCGGACAATTTCTAATGATATGTCTTCAAATTCATAGTCTTTTAAAATCTAAAGTTACTAATCTGCTGCTAGATCTATTCTGTGAAACTTTAATTTTACATATCTTAAATTTCACTTTCAGAATTCTCTTTACTTCTTTCATTTTAGAGTTTATGCTTTTTCCTTGAGAATTCTCTTTCTCTGAATTCATTATGTCCATCTTTTTCTTTAAATCTTTGGATGTTTTTACAATAGACATCTTAAAGTTGTTTAATTACCACACCTGGGTCATCTTTTGGTCACCCTCTGTTGACTTTTCTTGTTTATCAGTCACATTTTTCTGCCTCTTCAGATGTCCAGTAATTAGTGAATGTATCATTGACATTGTGACTGAATCCTTGTAAAGCATGTGGTTTATGTTGTCTTTGTTTCAAGAGGGTATTGTTCTGGTTGTTAACATACTGCCAACTCATTTGGATGTGGTCGAGACTTTCTTTTGGGCTTTGTTAGAGCAGGCTTAGAATGGCCCTTTTCCTAGGGCATGGTTGTTACTCTTAAAGTAGTGGTCTTCCTTGTGTCTTAGCAGAATACCCAGGATGCTTGGTGTAGATCTCTCCATTGTAACTAAGCCATACTCCTGTGTTACCCAAGACTGTGTGACCTCTAATGTCTCTGTTATGCCCTTAGCCCTGGAGCAGTAGCTCTAAGCTATACCTTGTGAAAGTCCAGGTGTCTCACTTTGTCTCCATTGACACCTGGGGTAAGGGTACCTTTACTGCTGGTGAGGAAAGAAGTTCAGATTCCCCACTAGGCCTCTGGTGACACTAACAGGCTGAGAGAAGGAGGGCCACTTATAGTTTTCTTACTGACATCATGGGGGACAGAATAAAAATTATGACTTCCCATAGGTTCCCATCCTAGAGGGAGTGAAGGAAGGGGCCCCTTATCATAGCTAGGGTTGAGGATGGAATTCAAAATTCCCCACTTGGCCTTTGTTGATGGGTGGAGTTGGTACAACAGATTTTTCAGTGGTGTTTGGCCGGAGTAGAATAGTTCTTATTGAATGTTTTCCACCTTGCCAAGCTGCCCCTTTCCTGTTCCTTTGTCTAGAGGGAACAAGATTTTCTTGGGGGCTTTTATTGTCATTACCTGTTGGCATTTACAGTTTGGTAACCTATTTAGCATTCAATCTAGAATATATAGGCAAAAAGAAAACCCAAGGAACTCATCGCTGTGTTGGCCTTGGCTCCTGGATCTCTAGCTGGTCTGCCCTTTTTTCTTCGCCCTTCAGAGTCTTTTTTGTGATTATATATATATATATATATATATATATATATATATATATATATAGTATTGATACTATCTATATAGTATCTATAGTATCTATATTTACCCCTAGTGGGGAGGAATAAAGATAAGTGATCTAATCTATTTTGAATGAGACATGTATGTGATTATGCATTTTTAAATGTATTTTGACTCTAATTTGTAGGCAAGAGAATGGGAAAGACTGATGGAAAAATGTTATTTATCTATTTATTTAATGTTCTACCTGCTTTTTCTTTATTTTAATCTAAATATCTGCCTCAGCTCTTGTCAGTATATGTTGTATTTGGGAACCTACTAAAAAATTCCAGAACCTGGGACAGGGTGTGAAATATGATTACAGAAGGACCCAACATTCGACTGAGAACTTTAAACTTTCTGCTATGGGAAAAATTTCAAGTGTTTAATCCACAATGATGACTATTAGATGATTTGTCCAAAACACACAGTGAGTGTGAGGTGTGGAAGCTGGATCAGCGTAGAGCCTTGTTGTGCAGCATTGTGCAGGTGACAGCAGAGGGAAGGGGTCAGTGAAACAGGGCTGTCCCCTGGGGCTCACCTCGGGGGCTGCCTTCAGGTCATCTACCTGCTTCCCAGTGGAACCAACAAAAAAGTCTCTTCTCAAGTCTGTTGAACTTCACTCTGACACAGAGTGAGGTGTGCCCAGGTAACCTGCCAGTCACTGGATGGCTGCCATGACATACCCCACACACCTGATACTGCTCAGGAGAAGCCAGGCAGCTTGTAGCAGCTTTCCCAGTCAGGGAATGTCAGGTTCAGCAGGCAGGGGGTCATCTGTGCATCCAGTAGAGATGGGGCTTAGCTGATTCTGATCTTTAGTTTGCCTGAGCAGTGACACACCCAGTCCTGCAGGTGTGGCAGAGCCACAGACAGAGTATGATGCTCAGGAGACATGTCAGCAAAGTTGTCTGCACTGGGCTTACTCTGGTTATTGTCTACTATCTCCTCCTGGTATTTTATAAAATAGTATTTTTTAATAAAATATTTATTTATTTATTTATTTATTTATTTATTTATTTATTTATTTAATAATCGACTTCACAAAAGTTGATTCTGGTTAGTGTCCAAGAGGAGTTTTATTTGCCTCTGTCTGAATGGGATGGGATCGTGATAAAGAGACTCTCTCACTTGGAGTTGGATTTGCAGCATCTGAGTAAGTTCATAACACTAACTCGGAGGGGATTGTGTGTATGTGTGCATGCCCATGCATGAGCGTGGCATTTCTAGGAACACTTCGAAAAAAAGTGTGGAGAGAAAGTGAGAGGTCACATTTTCACCTCTCAGTTGCTCAATTCATTATCTGACATTGAATTTTATGCCTCCAAATGGGCAGTAAGTATTGAGAATTAGGGGGAATCAGAGCAAACTGTTAAGGAGAAAAGAGCAGGGTGTCTCGATGAGTGGTGTGTGTGTACACTTGCACACACTCATAATCACAAGTACACACATGCAGACAGAGTGTCTGAGGCTCAGACAAACACTCCCTGAGAGGCTCAGGAATATCTAGGCATAGCCCTGTCTTCAGGTCTTTGTGTGGCAGGGTAGATAAACAGATGTGACAATCTCTGGGGCAAAGACCTCACTTCCACTTTGCTGTGAGCCGCTCTCGGGGACTACTGGGAGCTTGTCAGAGGACCTAAGATGGAATCCTGATATGGCCAGGAAGATGGTGTGACTTGAAACAAGTGCATATCTCTCGGTTGCAGGTTCCTGGTGTGTAAGTGGCTACAATGAAACTACCTACTTGACCTCACACGGTTGTGAAATGTATGCAGAAAGTGCTTTATAAACATATGTATGTCAAATTTTAACTTCTTTTTTAAATTGAGGTGTAATTGTCACATAACATTATACTAATTTTTAGTGTATAGTGTACTGATTTAATATTTGTGAAATATTACTGTGAAATGATCACAGTAAACATCCATCACCACACATAATCATAAATATTGTTTTCCTTGTGATGAGAACATTTAAGATCTACTCTTTTAGTAACTTCAAATATACAATGAATTATTAACTATAGTCACTATGTTGTATATTACATCCCAGGGGCTTATTTATTTTATAAATGTAAGTTTATACCTTTGGATCCCTTTCACCCATTTTGCCTACCTCCCTTATCCCCACCGTGGCAACCGCCAATCTGTTCTCTATATCTATGTGCTTGTTTCCCCTTCCACTTTTTATTTTGTTTTGTTTTCTTTTTGATTTAATATTTATTTTATTATTTTTCATTACTGTTTAGTCCCTCTATGCCCCCACCCCCCAGCAGTCAGCACACTGTTCTCCACATCCATGAGTCCTTTCTCCTTTTTGCTCAATCCCTTGGCCTACAACCTCCACCCCCACGAGCTGTCACCCTGCTCTCCATCTATGAGTCTGTCTCCAGTTTTCCTGTTCGTTCAGTTTGTTCATTAGATTCCACATATGAGTAAAACCATATGGCATTTGTCTTTCTCTCACTGACTTATTTCACTTAGTATAATGCCCTCAGTGTCCAGCAAATGTAAACTTCTTCACATGAATTCTGGGGCTTGTTTTTGATTCTGGCTCTGACCCTTATGAATTTTATGTCTCAACATCTGACTCCAGTGAGGGGAAGCAGCCATGTACCCCCTGATCCCCAGTGACAAGGCTCGAATGCTTGTGCCCCTGAAGGGACTTGAATGTGTGAGCAGGGAAGTGACTGCATAAATGTGTGGGTGTCGGTGTGTGGGAGCTGGAGTTGAAGAAAGAGTCTTTTAAAGTGAGAGCTGAGCATTGCCCATATTCAGAGCAAGGCAGAGGGGTAGATGGGAGGACAGACTTGAATAGAAAAAGAAGGAAAGAAAATCTGGAAAAGGGAGAGAGAAAAGGGGGACAATAGAGGACCAAAGGGATAAGGACAAAAAAGAGAGCAAAGAATAAGTGTCCAGGGCAAGAGAATGAAAGAATTTATATGGAGACAAGAAGAGAAAAGGGAAAATGATAGGTGGGAGCACAGAGAAGGAATCAGAAAGCACCATAGTACCTTCTACATCCTCCCTCATAGGACTCATCATGTTTTATTGTGGTACAATTCTCTGGAAGAGCTGGTTTCATGAATGTCTCATGGAGTTTCTTACCACTTTGTCCCCTCTGTCAGGCACATAGAAGTTAAATGGTTGAATAAATGCATGGATGAGTGTAGGAAAAAGAGGACAGACGACAGGCAGTCGGGGTGCAGGGAAGAGTGATACAGGGCAAGAACATAGATGATTATCCACTCTGAAGTCCTGGCTTTGAGCATATAGGCTGAGTTGGACATTCACTTGTGTATGTGCTCAGTGTAGCTTCACCAAAAGGATGCCTGTGTACCTGAGCAGTCACAGTCACTTCTTGGTAGAGTTCCCAGCCTACACCAAGACCCTCTCACCCACCCCCAGGGCTCATCCAGCTTGGGCCTTAAAATAGCAGGAGTTCTGCCCACAGCCTGGCTCTTTTTTCCTTCAGCTGGAAACCAGTATGCCTCAGCAAGTCATCTGGAACCATCAGGTGAACTCCCTTTCCTTCTGTAATGAGCAGTTCCTGCTTTTCTTATTATTTTTGTTGCTCCCCAGGTTTTATTCACTTTAAAATGATGTGGTGGCAGGGACTTCTTACCAACTGATATGAATTTCAAAATGTCTTCTGGACCCTGTTTCCAAATCATGAATGTGCTCTTTTTCTGCAGGACTTCCTGAAATTGAAAGGTGTTCACTTATGAATTATCCTGGTTGCTCATTGCCTCCAAGAAGGCTAGAGGACATTATAGGTCAATAAGGATGTTACACAAATGTAAACTGTCACACAGAACAAAAACAAAAAACATGCCCTGGCTGGCATGGCTCAGTGGATTGAGTGCGGGCCTGCAAACCACACAATGCGGTTCGATTCCCAGTCGGGGCACATGCCTGGGTTGCAGGCCGGTTCCTGGCAGGGGACTCATGAGAGGGGACCACGCATTGATGTTTCTCTCCTTCTCTCCATCCCTTCCTCTCAAAAGATAAATAAATAAACTCTTCTAAAAAATGGTCGTAATGGTATCCCTACTGTGAGAGGGTTTGCTGACCAATTTTCTGGAATCTCCCCAGGGAGTCTTAAAGCCCCACCAGAATGATGACATTGGGTGTGTCCCCTTTGGGTCCTGGAAAGTTTCCATGTAAGTCATGGGAATGGTCTAGGGACATTGTATTCAACCTGCTGAACTCAGCACTTACATCCTCAAATTGACTCTAGGGTGTCCAGGTCCAAACAATCTCCCACTGACAGCCATGAATAAATGAGAAAAATCAGATATCCCCCAAAGAACGCAGGGAAATTTAAAGGAACAGAGAACTCAAGGTTACCCTATGTCTCCTGTATGCTTATACAGAAGAGTTTGAATAAAAATGCTATTCAATTTGGAATGTTTTTAAAATTCTGCTTTCACTTTTATTTTCTACCTGAGCAAATATGCAAGGTAGTCACATGAGCCTTCTTTGAAACACCCACCATTAATTTTTCTTTCTGAGTTTGCTTCGACTCTTCTTTTCTCTGTCCTTAAACACTACTAATTGATTCTCCTTCTCCTTGGGCCAGCTTTATGCCACCTTCCAAACATGCCCTCACCCCAGTTGTAGGACTTTCCTGCTTCCTTTTAAGGGGCTGTATATGTGGATGAAATTTTGCTCATGATCTGCTCACACAGTCATGTGCTGTGGCCTGGGGCTGCATCTGCCCAGAGGAAATTCACACGATGAGACTGTCTGCTGGCCAACCTAGTGGGCCTGCACTGCAATTATCCAACAAAGGGGTGATTCTTTTAACTTGCAAGAATGTACTACATGGCCTAGAGGTGATCCTATCAGTGTGGTTGTAATTTAGTGTAGGTTTAAGGGATGATTAGTGGGGAACTAAGTGGTGGAGCATCTTGATTACCATTTTGGGATTTAATGCTGATGAGTGTCATAATCCATGTTGGGCTTGGGAAATATTAACGGGCTGTAGGTTTGGTTGCCATTGCAGAAAGGAGAGAGTCAGACAGCTGTGGTAATAGCTCTTTACTTTATTATGTAAATCTGGCTGCCCTCTAAGGTTTCTTTTGTTGACCCCAACAAATTTTCTCACTCATTACAGACTTTGTAGTGGCTCCTGGTTGACAGCGTTTGTCATTGCCCCCAGTCCTGCTGTCACTGTAGGCCACTGCAATATCCTGTGGGTGACCCATTGAACACCTCTGCCTTTCCACCTACACAGCCCATTATGTCCATCCCACCTCACATTTCTATGGTGCATTTTGGACTTTGTCATCATCTAGAACAGCTCGCCTGTGAAATGACAAATTCATGCTATGCTTTGCTGATCACAACCTACTGACTGTACAGCATACTCATTCAGTTTTCTCTGCAACAGTGCCATTTCTCCAACTTTTCTCTTGCCATGATCTGCAACTCCATTGCACACCTGTTCTCTTGTACTCTCCTAAGAACCTCCCAACATTATGTGAAATCAATTGCCCATCTTCTCTGTGCCTTCACCCAAGGGCTGAGCACTGCTGGAAAAATTCCCATAACTGAGCCCCTTCAAATTTGCGGTCACTCCTCAGCCAGTCCTTTCTTACACCCTCAGTGCTTCTGTGTGTCACAAACCAGTTCTCCCATTTCTATCATAACAATTTTAAGTTTTCTACTCTTTTCAATATCCTTCCTCACTTCCCACCCCCAAAGCAGAGGAAACAGAGAAACCAGAGAAAATAGAATAATATCCAAGTTTGATTGTGTGCCAGGCACTGTCATCAGCACTTCATAGGTGTCAATCCATATAGTTATCACAGCAACTCTCTGAGGTACTTGGTAAATCTATGGCCCTGGGAAGAGAAATACTGTGGCCAAGGTTATGCCAAGTTAGGAAGGGGTAACCACTGATAGTGTAGTACAGTTCTTCTCGAATTTTATTGTACAAAAGACTTACTCATTGATTTTGTTAGAAGTACAGATTCTGGCATCTTCCCCTACCCCTATCTAACCCTAAGATTCTGATTTAGTTGATTCAGGGATAAGCCTGGATATCTGCATTTTAAAATGATCCAACAGCTAATTCTGATTAAGTGGTTCTTGGGCCTCATTCTGAAAAACATTAGCTATTGTTAATGTATGTCTCATATTGCATCTCTAGAGGAACTTTGAATGTGTGGGACTCAGGATGGCTAAGTCTTGATAGAGCTGCTAGAGCTGAAAGAACACAGGTGTGTTCTAGTGCGTGTCTTGCCAGGACAGCCTGTGTGACTCTATGGTCCCTGTGACATATTGCATCCTCCATAACAAAGAGCTTATAAATTTTAGAATTTGGACAAGAAAACCTATCAATGAATTGGCTGAAATGTTTTCTTCCCTGCCTTTTATTTGCAGAAGAAAGTATGAAATTGGCTGTGAAGGAACAAGAAAACTTGAACAACACCCTGGAGAGGGTGAAAGATGCACAACACCCTGTTGGGAAGACAGTGGATGCCAAGGCAAGTAAGACAAAGAAAGACAAACCCAGAGAGAAACTTTTCTCTGGCTCACTGCTCTTCAAGCAGTGGGGTGAAGATCTTTCTGATGCCCAGCAGAAAAAGGCCCATGATCTCTTCCAAGAGTTTGGTTACAATGTTCACCTCAGTGACCAGCTGCCCCTGAATTGTTCCATCCCAGATGCACATCATTCCAGGTAAGGTGGGCCAGGGTTGGGCTTTCTAGGTACTGCACTTTAATTTGGGGATGAGCTGTGGGAGCAGTAAAAAGTCAAGGACTGAAAATAGAGTAGGGGACGTGGGAAATTGGTGGGGAAGGGTTAAGGGTTTAGGAAGTTTTGGCAGGCTGACTGAGAGTATTCTTGTTTTTTTTATTATTTTATTTTCCAATTGCAGTTTACATTAGATATTTTGTATTAGATTCAGGTGTACAGCATAGTGGTTGGATAATCATATACTTTACAAAGTATTCCCCTCAATATTCCAGTACCCATCTGGCAACATACATAGTTATTACAGCATTATTGACTATAATCTCTATGCTATACTTTATATCTTTGTGACTATTTTTGTAACTACCATTTGTATTTCTTTCTTTTTCTTTAATCCTCACCCAAGGATGTATGTTTATTGCTTTTAGAGAGAGAGAAAGTAGGGGCCAAGAGAGATAAAATCCATGTGAGAGACAAACATAGATCAGTTGCCTTTTGTACATGTCCCAACCAAGGATGAAACCCACAACCTAAGTATGTGCCCTGATTAAACCCACAACCTTTTGGATGATGCTCCAATCAACTGAGGCACCCAGATAGGTCCCAGTTTGTCCTTCTTAATCCCTTCACCCTTTTCACCCAGTCCTGCAAACCCTCCTCCTTTCTGGCAACCATCATTCTGTTTGTGTATCTATAGGTTTATTTCTGTTTTATTTATTTTGTTCTTTAGACTCCTCATCTAAGTGAAATCATATGCTATTCGTCTTCCACTGATTGACTTATCTCACTTAGCACAATATCATCTTGGTCCATCTATGCTCTTACAAACAGTAAGATTTAATTATTTCTTATAGCTAAGTGGCATTCCATGGTATATATGTGCCACATCTTTTTTATCAGTTTGTCTATTGATAGACAGATGGGTTGCTTCTATATCATGGCTATTGCGAATGATGCTGCAAACAAACACAAAGGTGCACATCTTTCAAATTGGTTTTTTGAGTTTCTTCAAATATAAGTGAAGGCAGTTCTGTTTTCAATTTTCTTTGAAGACCTTCCACACCATTTTTCATAGTGAAGGTACCACACTGTATTCCCACCAACAGTGCATAAGGGGTCTTTCTTCTCCACATCCTTGCCAACACTTCTTCTTTATTGATTTACTGATGATAGCAATTCTGACAAATGTGAGATAATATCTCATCATGGTTTGTTTATTTTTTTAAACTTTCAACCTCAGTTTACATTAAGTACCATTCCACACCAACTTCAGATGTATAGAAAAGTGTCTGGAAAACCATTATTCTATAGAGTGGTCCCCTTGCTGCCCCAAGCATCCACCCGAACACATACCCCATTATCCTGACATTATTGACTATATTCTTTATGGTACAATCTATATCTCTGTGGCTTTTTTGCAACTAACAATTTGTACCACTTAATCCTTTCATTGTCATTTTAATTTGCATTCTTCTGATGATTAGTGATTTGGAGCATCTTTTCACATGTCTATTGTCCATCTGTGTGTTTTCTTTGGAGAAGTGTCTATTCAGTTCCTTTGCCCATTTTTTAATTGGAATGTTTGTTTTTTTCTGATCTTCTGTTGTATAAGTTCTTTACATAAATTTTGGACATTAACCCATCATATATATCGTTGACAAATATCTTCTCCATTCAATGGGGTTTTTTGGGGGGGGGTTGTTTTGTTGATAGTTTCCTTTGCTGTGCAAAAACTTTTTAGTTTGATGTAGTCCCATTTATTTATTTCTTCTTTTGTTTTTTTTTTGCCTGAGGAGAGAGACACATCAGAAAAAAAAATATTGCTGTGAGAAATGGCAGAGATTTTACTGCCTATACTCTCTTCTAGTATTTTTATGATTTCAAGTCTAAAATTTAATTCTTTAATACATTTTCAGTTTATTCTTGTGTATAGTGTAAGAAGGTGGTCTAGTTTCATTTTTTTTTTGCTGTCTATCCAATTTTCCCAGCATCATTTATTGAATAGGTTGTCTTTACCCCAATTTATAGACTTGCCTTCTTTGTCAAATATTAATTGATTTAAAGGCTTGAGTTTATTTCTGGGCTCTCTGTTCTGTTCCATTGATCTATATTGTCTGTTTTTATGCCAGTATCATGATGTTTGATTACTATAGCTTTGTAGTATAGTTTGATATTTTATAATGTCATACTTTCAACTTTGTTCTTCTTTCTCAAGATTTTTGTGGCTCTCCAGTTTCCACATACATTTTTGGATTATTTGTTCTGGTTCTGTGAAAAATGCCAGTGGTATTTTGGTGGGAATGGTGTTGAATCTGTAGATTGTTTTGAGTAGTATAGACATTTTAATTATGTTAATTCTCCCTGTCCATGAGCATGGTATGTACTGCCCTTTATTTGTATTTTTTTCAATTTCTTTCTTCAGTGTTTTATAGTTCCCCAAGTATAGGTCTTTTTCCTCTTTGGTTAGATTTATTCCTATATTTGTTGTTATTTTGATGCAGTTGTAAATAGGATTGCTTTTATCATAGTTTCCCTTTCTGATGCTTCATTACTGGTGTAGAAAAAAATGAAACAGATTTCTGAAATATTTACTTTGTGTCTTGCTATTATACTGAATTCATTTATCAGTTCTAGTTGTTTTTTGGTGGAATCCTTTGGGTTCTCTAAATTACAGTATCATGTTATCTGCAAAAAATGACAGTTCTTCCTTTCCAATTTGAATGACTTTTTTCTTTTTCTTGCTTGATTACTCTAGCTAGGACTTCCTGTACTATGTTGAATAACAGTGGTGAGAATAGACATTCCTGTTTACTTCTGATCTTAAGGAAAACACTTTTAGTTTTTCCCCATTGAGTAGAATGTTAGCTGTGGGTTTGTCACACGTGGCTTCTATTATGTTGACGTATGTTCAGTATATTTCCACTTTGCTGAATTTTTTGTCATAAATTTGTGCTGGATTTTGTCAAATGCTTTTTCTGAATCTATTAATATGATTGTGTAATCTGGCAGCCAAGGAAAGTGGACTGGAATGTGCATGTGTGAACAATGACAACCTCACTGTACTAGCCATTAGAGCAGTAGACACCATTAAGTGAGCATGTGTACTGCATGGCCATCACATTCAAAATGACTGAGCAAGTAGAGCAATGAATCCTCATCCAATATTGCATTAAGCTTGAACATTCTTCCACGGAAACTATTCAGATGATTCAGAAGGCCACACCTATGGGCAACTGGTGATCGGCAGGTTCATCATTATAGTGCCCACTGATGCATTATGTCTCATGCAGAGTCTGTTTTTAGTGAAACATCAAATCACCCAGGTCACTCAGCCCCTCTACAGCCCAGATTTGGTTCCCATATGACTTCTGGCTTTTCCCCATACTAAAATTGCCTTTTAAAAAATAATTAGTTAATTAATTTATTTTTTTAAATATATTTTTAAATTTTATTGATTATGCCATTGCATTTGTTCTATTCCCCCCCTTCATTCCCCTCCATCCTGCACACCCCTCCCCCACCATTCCCCTCCTTTAGTTCATGAACATGTGTCTCAAGTTCTTTAGATTCTATATTTCCCCTACTATTCTTACCCTCCCCCCTATTTTCTATCTACTGTCTATGCTACATCTTTTCTGTACCTTCTCCCCCCTTCTCCTTCTCCCAATCCCCTGTTGCTAACCCTCCATGTGATCTTCATTTCTATGGTTCACTCCTTATCTAGCTCTCCTCTTAGTTTGCTTTTGTTTTAGGTGTGGTTGTTAGTAACTGTGAGTTTGCTGTCCTTTCACTGTTCATCTTTTTTATCTTCTTTTTCTTAGGTAAGTCCCTTTAACATTTCATATAATAAGGGCTTGGTGATGATGAACTCCTTGAATTTGATCTTATCTGAGAAGCACTTTAACTGTCCTTCCATTTTAAATGAAAGCTTTGCTGGATAGAGCAATCTTGGATGTAGGTCTTTGGATTTCATGACTTGGAATACTTCTTTCCAGCCCCTTCTTGCCTGTAAGGTCTCTTTGGAGAAATCAGCTGACAGTCTGATGGGAACTCCTTTGTAGGTGACTGTCCCTTATCTCTTGCTGCTTCTAGGATTCTCTCCTTCATTTTAATCTTGGCTAATGTAATTCTGATGTGCCTTGGTGTGTTCCTTCTTGGGTCCAACTTCTTTGGTACTCTCTGAGCTTCCTGGATTTCCTGGAAGTCTATTTACTTTGCCAGAATGTTCTCTTATTATTTGTTCAAATAAGGTTTCCACTTGTTGCTATTCCTCTTCCCCTTCTGGTACCCCTATAATTTGGATGTTGGAACGTTTAAAGATGTCCTGGAGGTTCCTAATCCTCTCCTCATTTTTTTGAATTCTTGTTTTGTCATATTTTTCTGTTTGGTCATTTTTTCCTTCCTTCTGGTCTGCTCCCTTGATTTGAGTCCCAGTTTCCTTTCCATCATTATTGGTTTCCTGTGCATTTCCATTCATTTCCATTAGTTTAGCCTTCATATATTTCTCTAATTTGTGACTAAAATCAACCAGTTCTGTGAGCACCCTGATCACCAGTGTTTTGAACTGTGCATCTGAAAGTTTGGCTATTTCTTGGTCACTTAGATTTATTGGCTCTGGGGCTCTGAGTTGTTCTTGAGCCATGTTTTGATCTGTTTGTGCCTGTTACGTATGAGGAGAGGCACCTTAGGTGTTCACCAGGGTGGGGCCACCCAGGTCTCTGGTTCATGACACTGTATGTGGTGGCAGGGTCAGAGAGGGAGCAATGGTGGTCCTTTTTGCTCTCCCAGTCTGCCTCACTGCTTGCCCCCGCCTGTTTATCTGAGTGCAAATGTGTGAGCCTGCCACCCTGTGCTGGGGCCTGCGAGGTCTGTCTCAATGCACATCTCTTCACTGGCTTATCTGCGTGCAAATGCGTGACCTCAGACAGCCAGCCGCACTGTGCCTTCCCGTAGCTACCCCGCACCTGGGATCCTCACCCTTGGCT